AGGCCGCGTCCCACATACAGCAACTAGAAGGATGTGCAGCTATGACACACAACTATCTGCTGGGGCTTTGGGGGGAAAAAATAAATAAGTAAAATCTTTAAAAAAAAAAAAAAAAGTACATATTATTTTTATTATAATGAAAATCATATTTTAAAGTTTCTCCAGCACAAATTTAAAAGTTTATATTAGAAAACTAGTATTTACATTCCATTTTTAAGGAAAATGCCTAATGTGTGCCTTTTCAGTAAGAATCTACTGAGCACTTATGGGGTGCATTGTACTAAAAGAACACCAAAATAAAATTCCTGCCTCAGGGAATCTAAATCTTATTGGCAAGGTTCACAGACATCTTTACAATAAGTAGCTAATACATGACAGACTCTTAATAAACATTTGTTTAATGAATACATGAATATACCATCAAAAGTATTTATTTATTCAAACTCTCATTCCATCGAGGATTAGCCTTGTTCTGTTGATTTGTCATACATGTATTATATTTTATCACTTCTAAGACACACATTGCTCACTTTTCAACAACTCTGAAATCAGAATGGGATTACTATCAATGTGATTTTTTTTTTTTTTGCTGAGGAAGATTCACCCTGAGCTAACATCCATTGCCAATCCTCTTCTTTTATTGCTTGAGGAAGATTAGCCCTGAGCTAACATCCTTGCCAATATTCCTCTATTTTGTATGTGGTTCACCACCATAGCATGGCTGACAAGTGCTGTAGGTCCACACCCAGGATCCAAACCCGGGCCACAGAAGCAGAGTGCGCTGAACTTAACCACTACACCACAGGGCCGGCCCCTCAATGTGATTTTTTAAATTATTGCTTCATAGATAATCTGCAGCATTTTCTTTTTTATAGTGGCAAATAAAATTACGGTATATATTCCATTGACAGCATCTTAGATTGAATGAAATACAATATGTATTGTATTTTCTGTATTTTAGAAAATACATATGACTTTGTAGGCATGTTTCCCTCAAGGGTCAACTGGGAAAAGTTTTCATGAGGCCACTCCATTCAATGAACATTCGAGCCTCCAGTGATCAGATAAAATCTACAATGAATAATTTATAAGTGTTAAAACCGACAGCTGACAAGTAACAACTTTATAAAAACTTGTGCATTTATGAGGGTTTATTTCTCAAATTTTTCAAGTTACTATTGAATGTTAAACATGTATTTCCTATTTTGAACTTAATGTAAGGCATAAGCATACATAAAAATCATGTGCATTTCTAAGCACTTATGATATACTTAAAAGATTTTCATATTTTAGTGTTTGAAATTAATCAAAGGTTTAAAAGGCCTAGGATATATGAAAATGACTAAACTGTATAAGAACTTTGAGAAGTTATAGAAGAAACACCAATAAAACCTTATAGCAGAAATGAAATTAACTAAGAGACCAAAATGAAATGTTATGACAAAGACAGGCAAAGAACACTGGGGAAAAAGAACAATTAACAATGATGAAAAGAATAAAATGTCATCAGACTAATAAAATGTGACTCGTCAGTAAGGTATAATCTACACTAACTGCATAGTAAAGAATCACTCAGCATTGCAGTGTAAATGATTGGGCACACGAGTTAGAGACATCAAGTAAACACACCAATATTTTACTAATAATTATTGACACCTACTGGTTATGAGAATGTTACACCAGGTACATCAGGTTTAATCATATAGTCCTCTCTCCATTTCTTAGCCTTTCTCTTTCTTCTGTATTTCCTCACAGAGGAGTTTTAGCCGATGTGGAAGTTGGGAGAAGGGAAGGAGGCAGGAAGGAATAGAGAAAGCCATCCTTTCAACCCACTGGTGACTGTTGCCTGTCCTTCACCCTCCCGTCCTAGATTGCTGGGCCTTCAACATGACTTCACTGAGGAACTCTGAGAACTGTGGTTACCTGCTCTTTCCTCCAGCATCCCACACTTCCTTCTCTTCCGGGATCAGGAATATGGAGTCTGGAAGTACACACGCACTCTGCTCTTCCTGGGCACCATAACTCGCTGCTCCTGCCAACTCAAAGGCCAACTCGCCTGCCCACTGATCATTACAGAGTTGTCCACTCCCAGCAAAGAGGGCAATATAGCTCTTTTTTCTATTGTATACTTTAGGGAATGAGTTTAAAACTTGACAACTTTGCATCACTATAAAATAAAAAGGGAAATTCGCTTAAAACTGTAGCAAACACTGAACACAGGAAGAAAACAAAAACTTTTGACTTTCACAATCGTTGTATAAAGATCTACAGGAGAAGGAAGAGGTGATGACTAAGAAAAATACAGTGCTTTCGTGGCTATGAGGTTACAAAGACATTATTGCCAATTTGTAATTATGCTGTTATTTTGGCTATGAGTTTACAAAAATGTAATTGTCAATTTATAATTATACTATTATTATTCACTGGAATAATTTTCCACTGACTTCCAGGTTCCGTGTTTTTTTAAGTTTTCAAGTCTTATGATTTTATGAACTTTTCTGGTAGAATGGAAAGGGCAAGATGAATGCCAGATCAAATTCATTTCGGTGAGATTAAGACTAAAATTTATGTAAGCAATAAAATTATCTTTAAGAGGACATTGACTGATTGTGTGATGATATGGGTTGCTTTTTCCTACAAAGTATTTTCCAGAAAGCCTTCTGAAAACTCTTGTGACACAATGGATACAAAATAGGATTGACAACGGAATTGAACCACTGAAGCCAAAATGTGATTTCATACACAATTGTTTCAGGACGCTGATCTGGGGGGTAAATTGAACGAACAATTGTGAACAGAGAATAGGGAGCCCAGCAAATGACAAAAACACCTAAGAGAATGGCCAGTGACTTGGCTAATTTCCTGGCTCTGAGCAGTTCAAGATGTTCCCTTCGGTGAAGAACTAGGGAATCTGATTGGGAGAGGGAACCCGTTTTGGAAGCAGTTATGCTCCTATTCTTCTGAGTTCTTAAAGAAAACAGGAGACTGCTCTGTCTCTTGGAACGAAAGGACGCCGCTGCTTCCTCCCCTTCCTTCGGTTCAGGAAGAGAAGTTCTTGAAAACAGTCTAGAACTGAATGAGCGTCCCCAGTTACTGGAAGAGACAGAAGCAGTGAGTCCAGCACCACTTTGCCACCTGCTTAGATTACTACGCTTCCATAGTCTCCAGTAAATATATATATTGAAATAAGCCACTGAGAAGACGGGAAGGAGGAATTCCAAGAATGACGTGATGGCAAGGATATACCATTCTGAAAAGAATCCAGGTTCACAATCTTTCTTCTCATTCTTCCAAGACTCTGAAACTAGAATTATTGGCCCATGCACTAAAAAGGCCAACACCCAGACAGCCACCATCAGAGCCACGATCTTCAAGATCCCAGTGTGTTGAGCTCTGTAAGATATCTAAAAGAGACCAAATAAATTATTTTCAATATAATGAACATGTGTTGACTGCACAAACCATACAATAAGCCCTCAGGAATTTCGACCATATGCAAGAGGTGGGGATATTTAACTGGACCTGGGTAACATGATGTGGGCCAGGACAGAGGGTTCAATTTCAGTGGAGCCTGGGCCAAGATGTAGACCTTCTTGGTACTTTTCAAGGGGAAGACTATAACCTTCAAGGGTAAACCTCTGACACTATAGAAAATGTCAAGGTCAATATCTAAAATAAGAAAGCAATTTGTCCTAGACCACAGACACTAATCTGAACTATTAAGCAACCGAAACTGGGTGCGCCTTTTCACAGTGTTTCTTAATCTGCTGGCTGGATCATGAGCAGCATTTTTTTTTTTAATGAAATGGAATAGTCAATGTCAGAATGCATCGCACATCGCAAATGTATATATTGTTTGATGAAACTTTTGCTTTGGGAGTATAGATATACATAGAAAGAAACACGTATACTGAATCACAGTGTAAAAAGCATTTCTCACTGTAGTCACAGTCAACAAAGTTTTAAAGCCACTGGCTTTTCTGATTCCAATATTCAGGAAGAATCTACTCTGTAGTTTATGCTGAGACTTCAAGGTGAGGTCAAAAAGAGAACGAAGAACTCTTACATTACTCCCGGAAGATGAAACACAAAAAGAAAGAAGTTTAAACCAACTATGGAGAGATACCACAGTGTTATTGAACATTACCAAATCCTTTCTTTCTATAAATGTTTCCACCAGACAAAAATGGTGCAAAGCCACCCACTTTGAGAGACGTGGCTATGGCGAGTGCCACAGTCTTTTTTAAGAGTGAAGAATGTTCTAGGTCTGCTTGGTCACAAGGATAGTCTTCTATAAGGGAAAATGAAATTTTATAAGTGAGGATTGCTCTCGTATCACACGACCCATGATCTTTGATAGATCCTGAAATCTTTAAGACTATCTTCAATAAGAAATCTAAAGATGCCCAAGACCAACCACCTTACATGCAGGACAAGTGTATGAACTAAGAATTTTTTAAGGGGACCTGGAACAGACAACCTCTCTGAACCTCTTTTTGATCAGCAAGGTTCCTTCCAGCTCAGATGTTCCATATTTCTCTGATTTCCTTACTTGAGGAAAAGGAAATGATCTACCCATGAAATGGAATATGCCTCCTTTTTTACCATCTCTCATGTACTATTTTCTCTGTGAGTTTTTAAGTCTTGCTCTAGAGTGTTTTCTCATTTTTATTAAAAGGGTGTAACATTACCCAGCACTCTCTTTCTTTGATGGATTGTACATAATGGGAAGGGCTCACCAATTGGCTAGAGGTTGGTTTAGAAAAACTAAGTTATTTTTAAAACTTCAGGGAAATGGATTTTTCTTTTCAAAATTACTGGTATTTCTGAGGCTAAGCTAAAATGCATATGGTGCTGACCACAAGCTTCCCTATACAATAAGCTTTTTTGCCTTCTGCTTCTCACACCATTAATTAATACATCTCTTGCACTAAATCTAATTATTATGAAGATGGTAACAATACCCAGATGGTCATAAAACTGCATTTAGTTTTTTAACTGTTCTGTTCAACCTTTGTAATGACATGATGCAATATGCTGAAAAGTGATCTCTTTTCTATTATGCATAAGGTCAAATGGGATGATGGACATCCAAGGGAATTGAGAAGATGATGCCAATCTCTTCTTCTTTGGGTAGCACTTTTGACAGATAGACAGCTCAAGCATCGCTTGCATCCAGGCCCAGGACCAGGCCAGTTGGAGTGGCCTCCCTGAAATCAATCAGTAGCCCAGGTCCCACCCACTACAGAATATGTCTATGGTTCAGGATATTGCCTCTTACCCTGCTTCCTTCCCTGCCCCAATAAGATATCCAAACATTCTGTCAATCAAGTTTCTTTTGTGAGACAGAGCAGGTCCTGGAACTTGCTGGTGTTAAAAATGACATGAGATTGCAGAGCCATTCTATGTGCCTGGTGTGGGTAGAATTGTGTCCTCCAAAAAGATACGTTGAAGTCCTAATACCTAGTACCTATGAATGTGACCTCATTTGCAAATAAGGTCTTTGCAGATGTAATCAAGGTAAGATGAGGTCATATTCAATTAGAGTGAGCCCTAATCCAATATGACTGGTGTCCTTATGAGAAAAGACAGAGACACACAGGGAGAACACCATGTGACGATGGAGGCAGAGACTGGAGTGATGCATGGCTGCAATACCAGAAGCTGAGAGAAAAGCATGGAACAGACCCCCCTAGAGTCCTCAGAGACAGCAGGCCCCTGTCTACACCTTGATTTTGGACTTCTAGCCTCCAGAACTGAAATGTATTCAAATTTCTGTTGTTTTAATCCACCCCATTTGTGGTACTTTGTACAGCAGTCCTAGGAAACTAGCTAGTCCTCCCTCAACAATATTTTTCATCCTCTTGATTTTACTGTCAAACTTCTTCCATCATCTGCAGGTGAAAAAATCCTCTCCACTTACTATCTTAATTCTGAGAACATTTCAATTCCCTTCTCTCCAGCTATGCTGTTCTGCTTTCCCCTTCCCACTTTTGCTTCAGCCACGTGGAATTTACCTGTCCAGAAAACTTGTCTAAACACTGTAGTCATGCACTGCCAGCTGCATTGAGCCTTCCTTTTCCAAATTATTGTCAGATTTCTATTTCCCAGGCCCAGCCCACCACCCTGCCCTATCACACTCTCCTCTGCTTTCAGCTACAGCAAGAGCCCAGCTTCCCCAGGACCACCTCCTCCGAGCTCCCGGTCTTCGAAGGCTTCCTTCTGGCTCACACAGCTCTGTTGGACCTCTTAGCCAGCAGAGCTGCGAGTGCAGGCTGAGCGCCCCCTTCGAGCACTCATGCACTCGTGTGGAGCGCTTCTCACACACTTAACTCTGTGCTAGGTACTGGGGACCTGGGATCCAGCTGACACAGCTCTCATCAACTCTGCAGCCTGCATTGCCGGGGAAATTCCTCAGGACAAGACCAGGCAATAAACCCACCCATTTTCTCCCTGGACATCACTCCTCATCTCTCTGCAATTCCTAAGCACTTTTTCTAACTGGGCAAGCTGTCTCTTACCTTCCCAGAAACCTCAGGTAGACGCGAGAGCTTGGACATTCAGTGAAGGAAGTCCTGGGAACATCCAGTGGAGATTAAAAAGAAATATTAACCCAGAAAGAAAGGAAAATTTTAAAGTATAAATGGGAAAGATTATGAATTAGAGCACTGTTTTTCAAACATTTTGACTGTGACCTAAAGTAAGAAATACCTTTTACAGGTATACAGACAAAAGTATTCATAAAACAATACTTATCTTTATTATGTGCAAGGTACTCTGATATTTTATACTTTAATTTTTTTATTCTATTCTATTATGCTCCTTTCTGTGTTTTTTTATGGAAAAAAAAAGCAACTGGTCACAAATCCTGATTTCATGGCTCAATAATGGGTCAAGACCTACAGTTTGAAAAACATGAGATTATAAGCATCTGAATTGCTAATCCACACTGATCTGTACTCTCTCCATAGTTTGTCCAGTATGAACTACAGCGGACTCTGGTGCCAATGAAGCATCCAATGCCAAGTGGTGGAGATGGCTGGCTGTCCTGCTACATCCATTCTCCCCTTCTTCCTGGCAATATGGTGGCTCAGCTAAAGACCACATTTCCCAGCTTCCCTTGTGGCAAGGTGGGACCATGTGACTAAGTTTCACCAATAAAATGTGAGTAGGAATCATGGTGTGATTCTGCACTACTTGGTTAAAAGAAAATCCCTTGCCCTGGACTTCTCCCCTTTGCCCTTCCAGTCTAAAACTTGGAGTGATAACAACCTGACTTTAACCTTGCAGATGAGGATAATGACCTAGAGCAGAGGTCAGCAAACTACTGTCCATGGAACTAATATGGTCTGCATGGCTGGATGAATAAAGTTTTATTAGAACACAATGAAGTTCTTTTTTTTTTTTTTCAGCCTGGAGTGAGAAATACCATTTTAGTATAAGCATTTCTTTCTTTTTATTTTTTGCAGGGAAGGATTCACCCTGCGCTAACATCTGTTGCCAAACTTCCTGTTTTTTTTTTCCTCTCCCCAAAGCCCCGCTGCATGGTTGTATACCCTAGTTGTAAGTCCTTCTAGTTCTTCTATGTGAACCGCCACCACAGCATGGCAACTGACAGGTGGTGTGGTTCCACTACCAGGAAGAGAATCCAGGCTGCCGAAGCAGTGAGAGCACTGAACTTGAGCCACTAGACAATCAGGGCTGGCTCCCTTTTGTTTTTTTTAACAAATTATCTATGGCTGTTTTTGTGCTATAACAGCAGATTTAAGCAGTTGCAATTGAGACCATAAGCCCTGCAAAGCCAAAAATATTTACTATCTGGCCCCTGATAGTAAAAGTTTGCTGATCTCTGCCCTAGAGGATGCAGAACCACCCCGTTAGCTTGGGTCCCTGGATGAGTTCCTGGAGCACAGCCTTCCACCTTTCCTGGACTGTTCTTTGAGAGAAAAATAAACTTCTATCTTGTTTGAGCCTCGGCATTTTGGAGTCTCTTTGTTACAGCAGTTTATCCTTGCCTTATCTAATATATCCTCCCAATCCTGTCTGCCTCCAGGCAGCACAGCCCTCCCAGGCCAGAGCTGTCACCATCCTCTCGCAACTCGAGCACTGCACTTAGTCCATTGTACTGGACTCATTTGTTTATGGATCTGTCTCCACATCAGACTATTGTGCTCCTCAAAAATGGAAACTCTGCTGATTCATTTCTGTATCTTAGCACTTAGCAAAATCTCTATGACACAGAAGTCTCCCAAAGATTTGGGTCCCTGGGACTCAGAAGTGAAGGAAGTTTGCCATCTAGATCTCAAGAATTTCAGATCACTGCCCCATTTATCTACGGCCCCTTTTCACCCTTATCCTTACTTACATCAACCTGGCTTTCTCTTTTGTTCTAATGTTGATAAATTTAGCTTGCGTCGGAATTGTCACTAACTTGTTGAGAGGCTATTCCAAATCTTGGGTAAGTTCAGACTTTCTTGGAGTGGGTCCTAAACTCGTACGGGGACTTGATTTTTCTGGTTGGTCACACCGTATAACCTGTATCTTCCCTGTATATTGTCTTTTCCTTTGGCCATTCAAAATTGATTTTCTCATGGCATTCAAAAGTCTGGGAGTCTTTCTACTTGCCCACCAAGTTTCATCCTGAGGAAAAAATTCAGGTCTCAATTTGTCTGAGGAGTGGAACTGATAAACCCACTGTGAACCTCACGTATATCTGACCTATTACAGACTCAGTGCACCACTTCTGACAACTTTCCTTGGATTTTCTCTGACGCCTTCCCATTTTAGTGGCACATAGGGAAGTGACTTATCCAAATTACACACAGAAAATGCTCACTAAGGGCCAATAAGAACTTTGTGCCAGATAACAAAAGGATAATCAGGATCCTCTAAGGTTTGTCGATAAAACAACAAATTATACTCAAAAAAATTTTTGCTTGAAGACCCAAAATCTACAAGTACATAATCTTCTAAGGAAGATAAATTAATGTTTTGACTTACAGCATTTGAGACTGACTGGTATCGATCATAGCTGATGAGCACAATGTTATACACAGATGCTGTGCACAAAACATAGTCAATAATGAGCCATAATGCACAGATTTTATTCCCAAAGTTCCAGTCAAACATCGTGTGAGGGATGTACAAAGGAATGGAGATCACACCTGTACAGAGAAAAATTAAGGGTAAAAAAATAGCACATATTAATGAATACCAAGAGGTATAGGTACACAAAACAATGATGTATCTGAAGTGATCACAAATGGCTTGATTATAATTTAGATATTCATGATATTTCATCAACAAACTCAGGATTCCCTACACACTTTTTAAATACCATTTTTATGATAGCTGTCATGAACATAGTACCTTCAATGGCTCTTTATTACTTTCCAAATTAAGTTCAAGTCCCAACCTGTATTTCCAGCCATATACAGCACAAATCATCCTTATGTTCATGATCCAACCCAAACAGGATGGGCCATCCTTCCCCAAACACATCCCACATTTTCACTTCTCTTTGCCTTTGCCAACGTCATTCTTTCTTTCTAGAATGTCCTCCCCTCTTCTACAGAAAGGTTTATTTACTTCCTTCTCACTCTGCACTCAGCTCAAAAAATGACTTCCTCCTTGTCATCTTTCTTGGAACTTCCTTGGCAGAAGTCACCCCTCTGTCACCTGCACTCTCCTGGCACTTTGCTCCTCTCTCCCTCTCTCATGCACAAACACATTCTACTTGATACCTTCATCATCTTTTAACTTGTGTCTCCTGAGGACTGGGACCACGTTGTAAGTCAATCTTTGTATTTCTCACAACATCTAGAGTTGACCAATGGCTTGCACCTTCAACTTAAATAAATTCATAACAGCTGATATGCATTGTGCAATTACCATATGCCAGGTGTTGTGCTATGCACGTTACATATTTGTCGTTAGTGCTGTCAAGTGGATTCCAACTCCCAGCGACCCTGTGTACAGCAGAGCAGAACCCTACCCTTTTTGGGCCATCTTCTCACCTTCCAGCACTATAGCAGAAAATGCTCTGCTACTGTTCATAGGGTTTTCATGGCCAATTTTTTCAGAAGTGGGTGGGCAGGTCCTTCTTCCTAGTCTGTCTTAGTCGGGGAGCTCCAGGGAAACCTGTCCATCATGGGTGACCCTGCTCATATTTGAAACGCTGGAGGCATTTCTTTTAGCATCACAACAACACACAGCTGCCACAGTACGACAGCCTACAGACGAGTCATGTGGTTCCCTGACCAGAAACGAACCCCAGGCCGGGGCAGCAAATCTTAACCACTAGACCACCAAGGCTGGCCACATTATACTCAATTGTAAAATGCATCACATATCTCATCTCATTTGACCTCACAGAAACTTTGTGAGGTAGGGACCATGCTGAGTTAGCAGATAAAGAACCCGAAGCTCAAAAAGGAGACATAATTAGTCCAAGGTCCACTCGGCTAGTAAGTGAAAGATTGGATTTGAAACCAGACAATGTGATTTCAGAACTCCTGACTTTAATAACCACTACCCTTCACTGAATGAGCAAATACATAAGTGATTTAGCTCAGCACAGAAACTGCTTAACTGTGAAAAACAACTAAATGGGGCACGTTTCCTTCAGCTTTGCAGGAGTTTTTAATTGCATTGACATTTCAGACAGGTGGCACTACTCACTGAGAACATAATCTATTAAGTGGAAGCTTAAATGAAATCTTATTTTGTCGAGTATCTTCGTATTTTATCAGGCACTTGTCAGGAATTCCCAATTTTCATATGAGAACCAAGTTAGTCTATCATGAAGAACAATAATAAAGGTAAAAGAAAGGGAAAGGAAGGACGGAGGGAACCCTGCATTCTCCCCACACCTGACGACATGAGGATTTAATGGTGTGGCTTGAGGACCAGCGAAAGGGAATGCAGAACTTAGTATCTAGGCTTACATACAAACACAAGAGGCAAGTCACCATAGAGACGATGTGGTCAGTTCTTACATGCAGTTCAAATTGCCTGCTTGTTTTATGTTTCAATTTTTTTTCTTTTTTTTGGTGAGGAAGATTAGCCCTGGGCTAACATCCACGCCCAACTTCCTCTACTTTATATGTGGGACACCTGCCTCAGCATGGCTTCATAAGCAGTGCACAAGTCCACACCTGGGATCTGAACCTGTGAACCCTGGGCCGTTGAAGTGGATCACATGAGCCAAACCACTACACTACTGAGCTGGCCCCTCAATTTTATTTTTAATAATAAGTAAGCTTTCTTATGGTGCCCTCCATCTGAAAGTTGCATGAGCGCATGTGTGCACACCCCCAGTATAAAATAGGCCTGAGATAAATCAAAGTATCTTAAACACAGACACATTTATTATATTTTGGCTGAGATTTGTGGCTTCCAAAGTTCCCAATATGAGTATTTTTCCACACACACACTCATTTCCTCCACAGAATGAGAAATGAGAGTGCAATGACAATAATCATTTGCATTATGGACACCACTGACTTAAAGGTTAAAGGGAGGGAAGAGAGTAAAATCATCTTTCCCAGTTACTTTCTGAATTAGATGAAAAAGGAAGGGTGTCTTTGAAACCTTAAGAGCTGCTTAAAATAGCAGTTAGCTTAAAACAGGCTCTAGTCTATCCCTTGGGCTTTAACGAAACCCTCCTGTCGCCTTGTGTTCTACATGACATATTAGTACAAATGTCATGCTCAGTTTTTCTGTCTTGAGTGGTAGAGATGTTTGTCGCTCATTCCAAAGGAGTTTCAAAAACCATGCATCTGAAATATTTCTAGGCTATACCCACACCTAGGTGTTTCTACAACTTCCACCCTGGAGTCACGCTTCTGGAGCAAATGGACTTGATGAGTAAAACTAAGAGCCAGTTCCTTGAAAAGAACAATAAGCCTGTGGCAGGACTGATCAAGGAGGGGAAAACCTGAGAGAAAACAGACTATATTAAAAGGTAGTGAAGGGAAAAAAAGGAGGCGAAGGAACAGGGGGAGGAGAGAAAGAAGGGAAGGAGGAAGAGAAGTGCCCTGTGAGAGCCTAGGAGACTTGCCCACCCCAGCCCGACCCCTACCTCTCGGGTCTCACCTCTTGCTACTCCCTCCACCCCTCATTCACTCCACTCCAGTCCCTCCAGCCTCAAATACACCACCCACCCTCCCCCCTCAGATCCTTGCCTTTGTTCCTGGGCATGAAATGCTCTTCCCCCAGAAAGTGTCTTATGTTTGCTCAAAGGAATCTTTCTCAGTGAGCCTCATCCCCAAAGTTTAAAATTGCAACCGCCACCTCCAACACATTTCCTCTCCCTCATCCCTGCTATGTTTTTCTCAATAGCAACAATCACTTTCTAAAATACCATGTAATTTTGTTTATTTTTATTGTTTATTGTCTCTCTCCCCACCCCCACTCCCAGTAGAAAGAGAAGCACCATGAGGGCTGGGATTTTTGTCTGTACTGCCATATCCCCAGCACCTCAAAGAGTGCCTGGTTCAGAATAAACCATTATTGGATGAATGAATAGTTGAGGACAGGGAAACCCAGCTTGCTTTAAAATTGCCACCAGTCTGGTATCACCTCTTCTTTCTGAAGCCCCGCCAGCAAGTTATACCTTCCATGATAAAATGGCAATCAAAAGGTGGGGAGAGCTAAAAGTCCCAGTGAATTCTTTGGGCCAACAGAGGGATGTGTGGATGACAGTGAGTGTATAGAGAATGTATAGAGAATGTTTGTGTCCCCCCAAAATTCATATGTTGAAGTCCTAACCCTCAGTGTGGCTGTATTTGGAGATAGTGCCTATAAGGAGGTAATTAAAGTTAAAAGAAATCATAAGGATGGGGCCCTGATCCAATAGAATTAGTGTCCTTATAAGAAGAGACACCAGAGAGCTCACTGGCTCGCTCTCTCTCCATGCACACTCAGAGGAAAGGCCATGTGAGGACTCAGCAAGAAGGCGGCCATCTACAAACCAGGGAGAGGGCCCTTCCCAGGAACCAAATCATCCAGCACCTTGATCTGGGACTTCCCAGCCTCCAGAACTGTGAGAAAGTAAATTGCTGTTGTTTAAATCACCCAGTCAGTGGTATTTTATTGTGGCAACCTGAGCTGACTAATACAAAGGGAAAGAGAAAAGTCCTGAACTGGGGCATGAAGGTACTAAAGATAAACGTTGCCATCCTGAAAACGTGGTTCAGGCTCTGTCAGCAGCAACCATCTTCAGCCCTTGGAGATCCTGTCTGGACCCTCTATCACAAGGTCATGTAGGCCATAAATGCCCACACAGCATGTGGATGTGAAGAAGGTACCCAGAGATGGAAACATTGGTCACATAATACCAATTTTATAGATATCAATATAGATATAGACAGTATATTTTTTTCCTGAAATGTGTACAAATAAGATATTAGGTGGCTCTGGAATTTTTCCTCAATTTTTGCTTTTCAACACTAAATTCATCCCGGGAAGCTACTCAGGTACCACAAATCTAGATTCTCTACAAGAGGCCAGTTCTGAAACCTGTGAGAAGAGGGCATTTGGCCAGAAAGCCCACAGTACCGAGCACATGTGATGCTCCTATCTGCCCTGCCATCATCACGTGGTTCTGGACCTCTAGGTCTCACGATCCCAAACATTGAGAATCGCTGGCTTACGGCTACAGAAAACCTCTCATGAGCTCTGCTCCGGCCCACCACCACCACCAGGAGGTCTCCAGCCTCAGAGGTGAAAGGGACACTTCCGAGCATGGCAAAGGAGAAAGAAAACTGTTGACACAAAACTCAGACCTTCTTACAAAAAACTCTCAGAGACCGTCATAATTCCTGTGTTGTTGTGGCAAATATTGTGTTAAATAAGTGGTCCTCTGGATGAAGCTGGCAGGGGGCAGGGGAAATGTGAAGGATGAGACTGGCAGACTAACAGGGATCCTGACCTGTGTCTGACTGCCCTTATCTGGAGCAAACTCGTTTCTTTTCCCATCCACCTGTGATGAAGGGGGACCACCAGGACTCCTGAATAACGACAGCTACAGGGCCATTTCTCAAAGATGAGCCACATCTGTATGTTGTGGTGCTGAAGCCCACGATGATGTGGCTGCCATGATGCCGACATCGGGCCATACATGGAAACAATTCATTCTTATCTGGAACCATCCTGGTTCAAGAGCTTCAGGCCTCAGGCTCTCTCAGTTGGATAGTTTTACCCCATAACTCCCTACCACCAGGTATTCAGGGCCTCACTCTCTTTGGTTAGTCAAAATACATGATCGACTTTAAGTGCTGAGTGTCATGTAAAAGTTGTACAGTTCTGTGAAGAAGAAGGAGAGGGATAAGCATGTTATCAGCAGAATAGTCTCAATGTTCACATAAATGTACTCATATGTTTATATGTGTTTATGTGAGCACAGAGAATGATGTGGGAAGATCTACATCGAGTTGTTAATGTTGGTTACCTGGAGGGGCAGCATTGAGGAGAGAGATGGGAAGATTGTTGCTTTTTTAAATACTTCTATATTGGTTAGCTGCCTTTATCTGTGACCCTGTAATTTCTATACCATGACTCCAATGCTGTGACTTCTATGCTGGACTCATTCTCTCCAGCTAGAAGTTTCCTTTCCTCCAGAACTTTTTATCAATGCAACATCAAAAGCATAAGCTGCCCTCCCAAAATGCTCCCTATTTCTATTAATAGTGCCATACTTTACTTAGTCCCCAGAACCCAAACTCTAACTCATCTTTTCTCTCTCTCCCGCCTAACTCCACTCTTGCAGCTCTGCCTCCCGAACTTCCTTTCCACCCTCACCCTAGCTCAGAGCCTTACCACATGACTTCTGCTTCCATTGCTGCAGGATTGTCTCTGAAACAATGCTTCTGCTTCTCCCACCTACTACATCACTTCTGACGTCTCTAAGGTGAAGCTTCTATCCATCCAATCACTCGCCTACATTAAAAATCTTTAAATCTCCACATTGCCTGCTGAATAAACTCCAAGCCATACTCACACTAGTATTCAAGGGCCTTCATGATATAGATTTTGACCACTCCAACTCCATCCCCGACTATTCCCATACAACCACCTGCACACCAGCCAGCCTGGAGCTCACACTTAGGAAGACATGCACAATGATTTTCTACCAGTATGTCTTTGCTGATTCTCGCAATACTCCTCTCCTCTCCATCTCTGCCTATGGAAATTCTACCCATCCTTGGAAGTTCATTTAAGATGCCAGAACCCACTAACCAAACATGCTTTCTCCCTCCTCTGAGTGCCATAGCATTTGGTAGGTCTGTGTGGGTTCTCACATCACTTTATTCTGTTATAGTCACTTGTTAACTTCTCTCACCCACTCTGCTATATTGGAACTTTATTGAAGAAAGAGATTAACCTAGTCTTCCATATATCTCCTCATTATCTAATCATACTTGAGTACCTAACAAGACTTACACATGGTAGGTACTCCACTAACATTTGTGATTTTGGTTTGAGTTGACACATATCTGTAGAGAAATCAAAAGAGAAGGGGACTAACATTTGTTGAGCAACCATTGTGTTCCAGGCAATAAACTAAGTATTATATGAGTTTCGTTTCATTTTAACATAAATGCAAGCATTTATGTAGCTATAGACAATGACAGATTAAATTATACTAGAAGCTCCTATAAAACAATATCATCAGCTGACATATCTGCACATTTACTTATTATGATAAGCATTCTTTAAAAAAAGATGATCATGAAGCAGTAAAAATTACAAAGTATATGTTTTCAAAGAAAGACTAATTTGATTTCTATGATCTCTTACAATCATATAATGCTATGATACCATATTATATGCAAGGTAGTTTAGTGTTGGGTGTATTTTACAATATTCTGTAGCATATCATAAAATAATACTATTCACCATACTGTTTAATTGACCTGAATATCCCATTTTCTGATTGTGCTGGTTGCCAGCATATATATCATTTCCTACTACCCCAACACTGTGATACCAAGGAAACTATGCTTACTTAAAGAGAAATACTTATAGACCCTAACATACAAGCAAAATAGCTCCAGAAACAAATAATGCTTAGACTAAAACAACTTTAGAATATCCTAGACTGATTTTTAGTTTATAAAAAGAAAGCAAACTGTTTTCAGATGAAAATTCCCCTACAAACCTGATTTCTATATATATAACATTCCCCTAAAGTGCCATATGGCCTCCCCTGAACTTTTTGTTCTTAATCATCCCCAACTGCATATAGTCCCTTGAAATAACAAAAGCTCATTTTAAGGTTTTAGAAATAAATTATAATTGCAAAAGATTATCTTAAGTAAAGATATGTAACTTACCAACAAAGAAGTCAGAAATGGCCAAGTTAAGAAAAAAATAATTACTTCGGTGTCTAAGGTTTTTGTCCACCACGAAAGCTAAAATGACCACAGCATTTCCTAGCATTATAGCAAAAGCTAGTAAGCTCATAAAAAATGCCAAAGTGATGCGAGTGCTTAGTGGCAAAATAATTGTGCTATTAGTAGCTGACATCACATCAAATGATGAAGAAGCTCAATATAGCAAATTAATCCAGCAAGAAAATTCTGACAAGTATGTTTTCCAATTGGATACCTAAAATATATAGTCTCCTACTCATGACAACATTTTTCAAAGTCTAATGCTTATCTCATAGGACTTCCTGATTCTTGATAAAGCAAACTTGTGGTAACAGTTTCTCTTTAACTGATACTGACAAAGTAATTCCAAAATACAGTGAAATGCTTTATCTTAAACATTTTAATGTGATTTATCCATCTCCCATTAATAGAGCAATATTATATAATACATATAAAATATAATTGATACATTGTACAGTTGTGTGCTGAGCACTGCTTAAAGACAAGGATGACTTCCGAGAAATGCATCATTGAGCAATTTCTTCATTGTGAGAACATTATAGTGCGTACTAAAGAGGAACAAAACTTGCAATCCTAAAATATGTCTCTTTAACATGAGGACTATTTTAAGCTGATTATTTCTAAGAAACAAAAGACTCAGAAAGTTTCTCTTGTTACCTCCCCTTTAACTTCCTAAAGTAATTCAGATAAAAAAACCTGTCTCAGGAAGCAAGCCACCACCTTAGCATAACATGAACTAGGTGGTAGAAAGAGAAGAACCTAACAAAAAGCCTGTTTGTTGGGATCTCTTCTGTGTTCTTCTGTTTCTGTGTGGCCAAACACTTGTTTTTCAAATGTTTGCTCCTTTTCACCTACGTGTGCATTGCCTTCCTTCCCTTTGAAGTCCCTGACTCTCCCCACATCCAACATCTTCTCCTGTCTTTAGCTGAGGATGGTATTTAAGGTGAGGCCTTTGGCCCTTTTGGTGAGTTACTCGGTTTTCCTGGGATTCTCTCATGTATACCTGTTATTAAACTTTTATTTGTTTTTCTCCTATTAATCTGTCTCACATCAATTTAATTCTTAGACCAGCCAGAAGAACCTAGAAGGGTAGAGGAAAATTTCTTCCTCCCCTGCAGTACTTACACAAACCTAAATGGTATAGCAAGTACACACCTAGGCTCTATGGTGCTAATTTTACGGGACCACTGTCATACACGCAGTCCACCACTAATCATGTTATTATGTGGTACATGGCTGTATAGGCAAGAAATTGGACTCAAATAAGATTCATTTTTAAAACTAATATAGATCCAGTTAAATATTCCCTTCTGACCATGATGGACTAACAGGGACTGAATTCACCATCCCATCTGAAACAACCAAAAAACTGGACAAAACATATGAAACAATGGTTTTCAAGGCACTGGACCTCAGGCAACGAAGGACAGTGACCCTGAGAGGGGGAGAAAATGAGGTGAGCTCTGCAGTTGCCCCAGCTTACTGTCTTGAGAGAGTTTCCAGGGCACAGAGCAGAGAGGAGACTTCCAGGAGGAGCCAGCAGAATCCCTGAGATGGGGAGATGGAGCTGAGAGTTGAGGAGTACTGGCAGGACTCTGCTGCAGAGATCCACTAAGAGAGAAGTCCAAAGATCTGCAAAGGACTCTCTTCAAGTATTCACCAGAGTTATTGATCAGAACAGTATGTGAGGAAACATACTCAGGCAGGAAGAAGAACCACTCAGAAAGATTAGAGGGAACAGTACCCACTGCTCACACGAGTCCAGTTACAGAGAATTTTCCCACCAGCCAGACTGACAAACTCATAATTCATGGGGCATTGGGTAGTATATTCAGAAGGGTCTTCCCCCACAGTCAGGAATAATTAGCCCTATACTAACTACTGCTTGGATCTTGCCTCACAAATCTTAAAAACAAAACCTTAAAGGATAAACCTGTTTCCAAGTAACTTAACTGCAGCTCTGAACACAGCTCAAGAATATTTAAGAACATAAAAACATCCAGTCCCCAACAAGGTAAAATTTATGTCTAGAATCCAATTAAAAATTATCAGGCATGCCAAGAAGCAGGCAAATATGACCCATAATGCACAGAAAAATTAATCAATTGAAACCATCCAGAATTGACACAGATATTAGAATTAACAGACAAGGACATTAAAGCAGTTATTATAGATATATTCCATATTTTCAAACAGATATATATAGAGAGAGAAGATATTTTTTAAAAAGCCAAACAAACTTCTGGAAATGAAAACTAGAATATCCGAACTAAAAATATGTTAGAAAGGATTAATGGTAGATCAGAAATTGCAGAAGAAAAGATTAGTGAACTTGAACATATAGCAATATAAACTACCCAAAATAAAACACAGAGATAAAAAAGAATTTTAAAAAATTAACAGAGCATCACTATACTGTAGGACAACTTCAAGTGACCTAATGTATGTCTAATAGGAGTCCCTGAAGGAAAGGAGAGAGGAGAGAACATAAAAAATATTTGAAGAAATAATGGCCAAAAGCTTCCAGAATTTAATGAAAACTATAAACTAAGAAGCTCAAGAACCTCAAACACAAGAAATGTGAAGAAAATTAACAAAGCACATCTAATCAAATTGCTCAAAACCAGTGTTAAAAAAAGAAAATCTTCAGAGCAGCCAGATGGGGGATAATTACATACAAAATAAAAAGGATATGGGTGACAGCAGATTTCTCATCAGAAGCAATGTAAGCAGAAGGATAGATAGTGGTCCAACATTATTCAAGTGCTGAAAAAAAAAACTGCCAATCTAGAATTCTGTACCTAGTAAAAATAACTTTCAAAAACAAAGACAAAATAAAGGAATTTTCAGATATTTGAAAGGTGGAAGAATTCATTGCCAGCAAGGTAGCACTACAAGAAATGTGAAAGGAAGTTCTTCAGGCAGAGGAAAGTGATACCAAATGGAAATATGTATCTATACAAAGGAATGAAGAGTGATAGAAATGGAGGTTTTCTTGCTTGTCTCTCCAAATAGAAGTAAGTTGCTAGAGGGCAAAGACTGTATTCTGTTTCATTTCATTTTGTTACTTTTTGTTTAAGTATGATACACACTTCAAAAATATACAAATCAAAAATGTATAATTGATTAATTTTTACAAATTGAACATACCCACGTAACCACCACCAAATTAAGAAATAAGCACCTCAAAATTTCTTTATACAGTCACTTGACCTTCACGGGTAAGCATTATCATGACACCTATAATCATAAATTAACTTTGCCCATTTTTGTACTTTATAAATGAAATTTTACATTCAAAAATTATATAAAAATACTTTGTATATATTTACTCTACATGATATTATTAAATTATAAAGAAATTTTTTATATTCCACTATAATTTATTAATTTCATTTGCAATACTTTTAAATCGATTAAAGTGAAGAGAAAAAGGAATTGGTTACATTTCCCTTTTTCTTATAATTTCACTGGAAGGAAAAGCTATTCTTTGTCACTTGCTAAACATAACCTGAGCCTGGAGCTCCCTCATTGGACAATCCCAGTTAGTATGTACTCATTAGGTATCCACTTCAAACCAAGAAGAGGAATGGGTAATTAAAGGGCAAATATCTCTGAGTTCAGAACCTACGTCTCTTTCAGAATGCTGTAGTTTCCCAAAGGAGAAAGACTGATGAAGCAGGAGGCAACTTGAGACCTCTCCCCACTTTATCCCATTCCCCTTACCTGAGACCTGGTGGAAATTTACAGTAACTCTGGCCTTCCTACCTACATGTCTTCAGGTCAAGGTGCTCATGTCCTGCTGGTGCAGGCAAAAGCAAGTGAAATGATATCACACTGAATGGACTTATTTTATTTACCATTTTCAAAGCAGTTGGTTAACAGAAAATTGGAATGGATAACTAATACACCTGCTTAAGAAGCTGGGCAAGACAAAGAATCAAATGGCTGATCTGCAAACCGCCAGCGTTGTGTTTTGCAACTTGAGGTGAGGGGGACTAAAAATAGGTTTCCATTAGATAGACGATTACACTTTCGTGGTGGAACTAGGGAGAAAGGGGTAAGAGATGCTACAAGAATTTACATACAAGTGTTCCCTACTTCACCACAATTTTCTCTCTAAATGGTGAATCTGATAGTCCCTAAAACTAGAGCTACCATTAAGGATTGCAGAGTCTGGTAATCTAGACAACGTAACGTGTATATTACATGATGGAATGAATTATCTCTTGCCTGCACCTTGCCAAGTTGGGGCTGACTGTGCAAATGTTTGTTGCCTCATGGAAGGAATATTCCCTTTTCTCTCTATTTATCCATACTGGCACCCTACAATTGGAAATGGACCAAAGGGGAAGCACTGGAATATCTCCTCTTGCTACCAGCCACATAGACCAGCCCAGTGACTTAACCAGAGGGACCTACATTAGGGGGAAAGGTTTGGGTTGAAATTAAGGATAAATGGAAGAAACGTGAAATTGTTGCTGAGAGGAGGGTAGCTATTAATAGGTATTACAAAAGGGAAAATCTAACATAATTTTAGTGCCTTAAGAGAAGTGTATAGCAAGAGAATATTATTCTCTCTTAGCTCTGATTCAGATGTCCCTCGGATGAAGGACTCAGTTTGCCAAAATCTCCTTTTTTGAGTAATCAAGAAGTAAGTAGGACAATAGCAAACCCAGTGAATGTACATATACTTCTGAGAGTGGTCTGCATGCTCAAAATGGATGAACAGGTGAAAGCTTTGACTAGAACTACATGGAACAATACTAATATGGCTATATCTTCTGGTACCCATTTCACAGGATACAGCTGTTACTGAAGGCCCGAGTTAGGAAGAAAATTATGGGAATGTATATCCAGTCGAATCTGGAGAACACTGATTAATAATAATCTAAATGAAAATTGCATGGCCATTAATTTTGATGATGAAGGTTTAAGGACGGTATTGAGATATGACAGTAGAAGTTCATCTTCTGCATATTCCATCTATAAAAATATTACGTGTAAAAAAAAGCTATTTGCCCTATTATTGTGGGTGGAAAGCTGTAAAGAGGTGGAGGGACAGTTGGATCACTGAGAAAGGAAAACAATTTAGTCTAACTTGGTGGGCCTACACTCTTGAGGATGAAAAGTCAGAAATTCTATGTGGATGGCTACGGGAGCACTATGGCAAACCCAAACCTAAGTCCATTTAGCAGTGACGACTATTCCTAGGACCTTAGCC